CTAGAGCTTTCAACTACTGTTAACATTTGGTACATTTATACATAGATATCTGCTTAAATTGCGCAGTTCAATGTCACTTCTAAGGACACGTAAGGCAACACAGGATTTCCAAAATCAGCTCTCTTATCTGTAAGTTACTAAGCAGCAAGCATTATCTAATCAATAAGCACAATACAAGAACAATACAACTCTCTATATAAACACCTATTACATTTTTATAGACATTTACCATTAGCAAGTAAAGCTATCAGTAATACTTATTTTTAATAATGCAACATTTCATCAAGATTAATAATATGCTGAACTGATTCAAGTCTGCTTTTTGTTACAGACAAGAAAGCTCCTGTTAATAAATACTGCTAGTATTCAATAGTGCTATGAACAGATGGTTTGGCTCCTCCTAACAAACTATCCTACTCACAGCTCTAGAAAACATGCTGCACTTCTTGAAAAAATGTCAAGAATGCATTTCTAAAAAGCCATATGAAAAGAAACTGAACTGTAAAATAAGACAACAATGGCAGAAGCATGTTCTTAGCATCCTCTCCCTGTGCAATGGAAATAAAATGGTAACTTATGACAGTGCAAGAATGACAATTATTCAACTGCCATAGTGTGGCAGCTATACAGAGGTGCTAGAGGTTTTCACAGATTTCGTTTATATAAACATAGCACTTTTTGAACAGGAAAATTGTGACCTTGTCCTTCAAATGTTCTATAGAATATTCCGCCGCAAGTTTGTAGCAAAGGGGGTGCAAATAATCTCAATCTAAATTGAAAGCTATGTCTTAACTAGAATACAGGACGAGATATTACTGTTATAGCCTTAAAAATACATCTCTAAATTAAGTATTTAAAATAGAACAAGATTTGTCATATCTATTACTTATATCTTTGCATAAAATATTTAATTTTTGCTTTAAAAATAATTATAACTAAATCACTTACCTCCTTGCTCTATATCTGAATCTGTAAGATGCGTAAGAGAGAAGCTTGCCATATTTGCAGGAGAGATAGAGAATCTGGAGTAAGGGGACGAATGTGACCAGTTCTGATCAAGAGTCCGGGAAGGTGGAGGTGGAGAGAAGTACTTTGATGACTGAAGAGGTGGTTTAGAACTAATAAGACTATTAGCTGCCTTTGATATAAAGGATGGCTCCGGAGAAGAGAAGTCATCATCCCATTCAAAACCTCCACCTTGGGAAAAAGAAAAAAGGAAAAAGAAGAAATAAGAGGCAATTTACAGTAACATAAAGTCATGCACAGTTTTAAAAGCAAGCCCCTGGCAGACTGCATTAACTGAAAGAAAAACTTGTAGTTTTTATCTTCTGGCCCTGGGGGTCACAAAGATTTGTCACCAATAGTTTGGTTGCCTCTCAAGACACCCTAGACACATCGATATAAAAACCCGTACTACAGCACAAGCTTTGATAGCCAGGAACACTGGTGTCTGAGCCTAGCTAGTGTGTATGCTTAGGATGCAAAACTGAAGCTGGTATGGTAGTAAATTTAAATATCATGTATAATTTAAATGAGATTTCATTAAAAGCTATGCATAAAACAGTCTCAGCCCCTACTGTGTATAAATATATTCAAAGTACCTTCTTCATCTGTGGAGCTTTCTGAATTTGCAAATCTGTTTAAGTAACTAAAACTGGAAGATGGGACGGGAGTGCTGTGAGAGCCTTCGCCGCTCAAGTCTGCTGCTCGGTTTCCCAGCTCCTTAGTTGGCGTTTCCTAAGGCAAACAAAATTACTTATTTAACTCTCGTATACACAGTCTGTACAAGCCTATAGCTGCAAGCATTCAAAAAAATACAGTCTCCCACCCCCACCATCAAATCTACTGTGGAATTCAGCGGTCTGTGAACTCTGAAGTTATAACCACACAAAACTCTTGAGTTATAGATTAAACATGCACATACTTCTGTTTCTAAAGAAAGTGGTATCAAACCTGTGCTAAAATGTATGCAGGAAATTACTATTTAAATATTAATTTTTATATATAAAGGTCTCATATTTCTAGGAACAATGCTAAAACATCTTCCAATAGAAAACAGTTTCCCTATCAGCCTGACACAGGTATGGTTTTTTCAATTTAATAAAGCCTTATCCTATATCCCCACTTTTTAAACTTTTTTTTTTCTTTTTTACCCCTTAATCATGCTTCAGGATAAAGAGACAGACTTTATGCGACCGGTATTTCAAGCGGCCAACATTTTATCAGTTACTGTAATAACAAGTAAAGAGCTCAACAACAGCAGTTTAAACACAGCTCATTTTTTTCCCTTCCCTCTGACAAAAGGATTACTATTCTACAGACTGCCTAAACACAAATATATCACCTATGTTTTCTATTCCAAAACACAATTATCTCCAATATTTATGTACGTCATTATAAGCAGCATTTCCGAAGCTTGACAACGTGACTGTTCTATTAAACTCACTGTACTGGTTTAGTTGCCATAATGTTAAAATACAAATCCCCTCTGTATCAAGTTACAGAAGTTAAAAATTGAGAAAGCAGATAGGGAAACAAAGGTAACCTTGACTTTTATAAGCAAATCAGTATTTCACTGAACTTGAATCACATTGAATTAATAAAAATTAGCTTTACCATCTACACACTGTTCTCATCTTTGATTATGGTTTAAGGTAAGTTTACCTTAATGCTAACTAACAGAACATTCCGAGTTAGGTTGGGGTTTGGTTGGGTGGGTGGGGGATTTTTGAAGAGTTTTTGTTGGTTTGGTTTTTTTCCTTCTTTTCTTTTACAAAGGCATTTGAACTTACAACTCAAAGTCCTCAAACTCGTTAAACAGATAAACTGTTTCTATAAAGTTACAACAAATTAATCAAATCTGATGCATAATGATGCCATCTTACATATTCAAATTGAATACAGCTTAGAAACATCAGAAAGACATCGCTAAAAACCATGTTTCATTCAGCACATGCAGTCAAAGGTCCAAAAGCAACGGAGAATCAGGATTTGGCAACCAACCCCGCCCAAAGCAAAACCTTCCTTCACTTCAAATTAGTGCTGCTATTCTAGCAGCAGCACAGAACTGCACCTGGCCAAGGAAAAAATAACCCACATCACAAGTAAGATCTAACCCTGCCAAAACAAGAAAGTCAATCTTGTAACAGTGTGTCCACAAATATTATTAAGCTGTTCTACCACATCTTGTTTAGAAAAAACAAACCAAAACCAACAAAAACTTTACTTATTAAATAAAAAAAAATATATACACACCTGATCAAACAAATAGACTGTCACATCATCAAAGAACTTTACGGCCTTTTTCTCATTTTTCCAATGCTCATGTTGCCTTTCATTAAGAGGTTTTGGAAGTTTCAACAAGCTTCTCAGATGTTTCCCATCATCCTTCTCAGTAAGTATCTCAGGTACTTGGTGAACAGTTTCATCTTCACTCTCAGAACTCAGACTATGCATATGAAAAGTCCTCATGTCATCCTCAGAATCACTGTTTTCATCTTCCTCATCTGCATCATCACCATCTTCTAAATCAAGCATTCCAGAAACATCGAGTTTGCCGAGATATTTTCCTTCAATATCTGGCTCTTTCAGTTTTTGTCCTTCAATGTGATAGAAGGACTTCTCACTGTTACTCAGATCTAAAGGACCGTGTAAGTTATGCACAGACTTTAAGTCTCTGTGTGAAAGAAGTTCTGCAGTATTAGTGCCAACACAAGAGACAGTTTTATGGGAAGCCTCAGATAATCTTATTTCATCCCTTAGGCTATTTCCTAGCAATATTTCCAGGGAATTCAGAGTTGCCTCAGACCACTCATCAGGACACCCCTGCATCCTCACATCCATCTCTTCCATCTCTAAGTTGTGATTCAGCTCTAGTTCTGCATTTTCATTATTGGTATCCTGGTAATTCTTTACATCACACTTTTGCTGTTTCTCTTCTAAAGTGTAATCCTCTTCAGCATTATTCTCTCCTCTGTTTGAAGAAACAACACATGCAGTCTCTCTTGACAGATTTACAGTCTCTTCTGATTTTTTATCTGGCTCAGAATCATTATCAGAGAAATAGGCAGAGTCTCTATAGGAGCTTTGATTTCCACCCAGAAAAACCTTTGGGGTTACTTCAAAACTGCTGTTCACTGCATCTAAACAAGCTGCTGCTTCTGAAACAATGATGACTGGATTAGGAGGTAAAGCACTGACACTGCTCTCGCTGACAACACAGAGTGCAGTATCTACACCAGAAGCATCCTCAACAGTGACATGGGAAGTCCATTCTGGAGATTCCAGGTTCTCCGTTTCATAGCCACTGTCAGCAGGTTTATCGGGTGGCAAAAGTTTCTGAGGACTTTGAGCCTGTAAAGATTCTAAAACCTCATTTACATCTAAAGAGTCCAAAGAATCAGGTGTCTCTAAGGCTTGTTTTGCAGTTTGTATAGGAGACGGGCTGTCTTCTAAAAGACTATCCTGGCTTGCACAATCTGAAGCAGCAACAGAAATTAAGGTCACCTCTTCTGGAACATCCTTACAGTTCTCAAAATGATTTGACACTTCATGGTTTTCCTCCAATAAACATTTATCTTTTTTTAATATGGGAGTCTTATCTTGCAAGTTTCTTTTTGAATCTTCCTGGTCACTACATTTCTCTCTACTAAAAGCTATTTCATCAGACTTGAAAAGCATGCTCTGTTTTATTTGTGCATCGCGCTCATCTGTTTCAGCAGCAATACTGTAACAAGGATTTTTTCCAACATTATTATTTTTGGCATTATTGGATAGCTCTTCTTGACAGAGCATATCAGTGTTATAGGACACAACTTCACTGACTTCCACATTTGAAAGTTTTCCCTCATTCTTCAAATAAGGAAGAGTTGCCCATTCATCACAGGACTTAGATGCTGCAGATGGACTAGAGGGTGCCTGCATCTCTACAGTAGTCTGAGACTGAGAATTTGGATCTTTATTCATTGTCACTGGGTTAAAATTTTCATCTTTCACTGTTTTAAGACTTTCATGGATTAAAGAAAAGACCTGTGCATTTTCAGCCAAGACAGGCTCAGGCTCTACAGAGTTTCTCTTGGAGGTTTCTAATAAACTTTTTAGAACATCTTCTGGGTTTTGCCCCAAATCACTGCTGGCTTTTTTAGTCAATAACCCTGCTAATAAGTTTTTCTCTTGAAGAAATAAGAAGTTATCAGAAAGTTCTTCTAAAGTTTCTAAGTCAGATTGGTTAGAAATATTTTCACATAAGGAAAGTGTTTGGTTTTCAGAAGCATGACCAGAATGCTCCTTCTCAGAAAGGCCTACTGCCTTTCTAGCATCTGTGTTTGAGTGTAAAACAGTTGGTTTCAAGTCTTTAGAAACATCATTTGTTTCAGCAAAACAAAGTACTTTTCTGTTTGTCAGGTCTTCTGATCTGTCAATGTCATTAAAGATACTCTGGAAAGGACTTTCTGGACTACCAGTAGCAGGCGAAAATTCCTCTTTCGGATCAGTATTGTAGTGGAAGAAGTCCCCATCAGTGCTAGATTCTTCAACATCAAGATCCCTGAGAACCGTGAAATGAGAACTTTTTTCTTGTGCAGCTTCTTGATGATCAACTTCTGTAGTTAGTACAACCGACTGGTTATCAAAATTCATGGTGCAGCCACTTCCTTTTTCCTCCAACTGGATATAGTAGTCATTTCCAACAGAAAGCTTGTGTGCATCAAACACCGGTAACACCCCAGGGACAGCAAGTGATGCTTCCTGACCACTTCCATCCTGTGCTCCTGACCCTTGCTCTGAAAGTGACCTCTCAAAAACCTCCACTGGAAAGAAAATACTCGTGTATGTCATTGCTTCATCAGGATTCACATGACCACATTCATCAAAATGATCATGTTTAGCTGCTTCCCAGATATATTCAAAGCTGAGACCCTGGCTTGTTTCAGTTACAGTAAGAACTTCCTCCATCTCATGGCCAAGTCTGTCTCCTGTGAAGTGATCCAAAATTGGAAATGCAGAATTATTTGTTTCTCTATTTGAGGTGTTTGGTTTAAGAGCATTCCACTGCTGTTCAAAATCAATCTCCGAGTCCCTTTGGCTTTGCATGCGAAGGTAAGTTAAAAGTCTATGCACTTCTTCTGCTGTTGGTCTCTTTTCTGGAGGTAGCCAACAGAACTGCAGAACTTCATACCTACACAAATAAGAAACATGTTTCAATAGGTTTCACATTGACAAGGAATTTATAAAATTCCAATACCTAGCATGCTAAGGAGTAACAATACCATTGACAGGAATTTCTATCTATAGCAACCCCTTTTCCTTTTATCCAAGGTTTCTTTGCCAGGAGCACAACTACGTAGCAATTTCAGTATATTTAAGACAACGGAGTAATTTGAGAAACTTCTTTGGCAGCTTTAAGAAAAAATAAGAACATTTGAATTTTACCATCTATCAGAGTATGGCTGCTCCAGACGTGGCTTGAAGAGTTTAATCTGCTTCTCCCTTATGACATGGGTTAGGACTTCCCTGTCAGAAAATTCTGAATATGGCTGAGCAGCATTCTCGAACAGCTCCCACAGTGTGACACCCAGGGACCTGAAAAAGAGCAGCAAATGACTCTGCATTCTAAGAACTATTTTAAAGTTACTTTTCTAAGGAAGTAAGGATTACGCAAAGCATAACTGACAAGAAGAAATAACACTCTCCCATTGGCTCTGTAGTAACTTCAGAACCTGTTAATTTTATTTGACAGAATGCTAGAAGCCTCAAGAATAAAGTTGCTTGAAGGCAATGACAATGAAGGCAAGAAAATATAAGAGGCCTCAAATGATTCAACTATGGAAGAAACCCCCACATATTAAAAAAGTAGAAAATGTCCATTTAGAGAAGATAAAAAAACCTTATGGTTAGTCCAACAGTAGAAAAAGCTTTCATCAGAAACTGCAGGTACAGGTCAAACTTTCTAGAAACCTAACCTTTGTTTCAGTTTCCCTAAAATGACTTATTTTTAAACTGCAGTGGTCAGAAGCTGTTTCCAGTGTTGTATGCAGTATGCATATAGAGCTGAACAAACTCACATTTTCAGTCAGAGTTGGTGCTTATCTCTGGGCAACCTTTCCTTGCTCAAAATGCAAAGAAACTGACTCTGCGTGTATTACAGTAGAATGATTTACACTGCAAGGAGTCTCTGGAAGTCATCTAGTCCAAACCTGTTCAAAGCAGATCTGTATGAAAGGCACTAAAATTCACATTGGAAACCTTAAGACCCTGGCTGCTTGTAATTTAGATGAACAGTACAATCTGAGGAAGCCTGCTTGAAGAATGCAAGGAAATCAGTATTTAATTTCTATCTCTCCCACTTACTTTCTGCAAAACTACCTTTAAATTGGCAAATAAAAACTAGTTTACTATTTAATATCCTTAGAATGTAAAAGCAGGAATTTTGTCTCTGCTACCAGAGAGCTTACAGGCAGAGGCTAACAGTTACCTGCAGCCCTCAAATGCTGCAGCAAGAAATTCAGACACAATTATTCCACCAATGGGCTCTAAATGGGATCAACTTTTTATGTCATCCAGAGCTATTACTGGAGAAATCTTTTACCATTTCTTTCCTTTATAAACGCTTAAAGGCATTTGGCCAATATACAGTAAATACTTTCATTAATACGAACATCCATTCTTCTGCTAAACATTTTTTCCTAATCTAATTGTTCTCTCAACAGGTTGCTAAGCATCTTTCCAACGTCAGATAATAGTTTCAGGTTTGTAGAGATTAACCTGCTGTACATCTGATCAAATAAAAGCAGTGCATCCGGCCAATATTCAGCATAACTACAAATATTATTTACTCCTTTTTGTAACATTTCAAGGTATGTTCATCACAAATCTCTCAAAGTGATTTTAAAGCCTACTACATACCATATGTTACTGTATTTATTCTGCTCTGCTGATAACAGTCTGTCTTGAAAACTTGTTACTAACTCAGGTGCAGTCCATCGTAGAGATATAAGTTTCTTCTCATCTGTCTCAATATAATCTTCCTAAATTATTGACAAAAACAACCAAACAAAAAATTAAAAAAGACTGAACAAACGTTGGATTAACCTCCAGAAGTTGAAAGTCCTTTCCTTAATACAGATGTGTGATCCCTATGCAACAAAATAGTATTAAAAAAATAATTCAATTTTTCCCAAGTAGCAGAGAATAATGCCATAGAGGAAAGGCATTCACTGTTCACTGCGCAGCAGAAAAACTGAATGCCAACATCTCGTTTAAGGCTTGGTATTCAGAAAACATTTTTTTTTAAATTAATGTCTTGAATGTTTTACTTTCTTGATATATTTAAATACTTTGAACACTTCCATTATGAAATTTGATTAAATTTTTCCTTTTTTAAATCATTAAAAGGAATTTGTGTGTATTTTAGGACTACTGTAGATAGGACCTAGAAGAAAAAATTAAACAGAAGCTTCCTTCTACAAGCATAAACTCCACTCATCTCTAGAAAGATCATCTATTCTGTTACATGTGCTTGCTATGGTTATCTGCCAATTATAATTTGAAGGTACATTATTCAAATAAAGGGCAATCTAGTATCTGTTTGTAACTTTAAAGTACGCTTGCTACAACCTCGAGCACCAAATCCTTTAAAAAAAAAAAGTGGTAAGTGACTAGATTAACTTACCTTGTATCTACTGAATCCTATACCATAATCTCCTATTTTGACATTTAAATCAGATGTAAGAAAGCAATTCCTCAAGGCCAAGTCACTGAAAAAGCAAGCAAATAACTGATGAGACCAAACCAAGAAGCCTTCAATTTAAATTGAGACAAGCAGGTTAACAGAAGTGACACTTCTTCGAATGGTCAGACCACAGCCTGAAGTATCAAATAAAAAGCCAATAAAATTCTAAAACAAAATCAAAGGCATTATGCACAATTATAGGTTGCAGTAGCTACTTTGCAGGCCACCATAGGAGCAGATCAGTAATACAAAACAAGAAGTGCTAAGGATTCAAAATCCATGCTAGATACACTTCAGTGAGTTTATTCACGAGCTGTAGTCTAATGCTATAGACCTAAAACTACTAACGCCTGAAGCAAGCTGTGTGCGAGAAAGGTGTGCTCCTGGAACTAATTTTCTGATTCTCTCCGGATGAAATTAAACCAGTCCATACACTCCAGAAGCCCAACTCAGCACACAGCCAGGCACAGTGACTGGGGAGATGAGTCCAGTGATGCAGATCACTTGGGCTGTACATGTGCTAGAGCAATGTGGGTCCCTCATTACCTAATGCCTGGCATTGCACATCTCGTGTTTTAATCATCATGAGCAAACTATCAACAATTCAGATCAGGTTTAAATTCTTAGCAGTTTTACAATATGATACTAAGCATCTACTAATATCTTACACCTACAGTTAAGATCCTCTAAATAACACCACCATACATTACACCTGAACTAGACAAGCCTTTGAAAAAGACCTTCAGAAAGAGTGATGTATTTCATAAAAGTCCATTAATAAACAAGCCAAAAAGCTCTTGAACACACAGAGAAGTTGTTTCCAGTTTCCACCATGAACCAGATCACAGGCACTCAGCCAGCAGTGCTGCTGTAATAATACCAAGAAACTGTTTTAGAAAACCCACCAGGCAAACTCTGAAATGTATGCAAGTTTAATGAAGCTGCATGCTTATTATGGAACTGTAGCTGTGACAGCAAAGAGCTCAGCAGACTAATTGCTCAAATATTTTGCTTCTCAGTTTCACAGAGGGTACCAGGCAATTAAGTGCACTGAAGAACTTTACCATTGCTTCTGTGTGGCTTTAAAAACCAACTCTCTGAAGTACAAATGGTCTGAAAGCCACACAGCTTCCCTACTTCAAAGAAAGAAAATGTTTTGCTTTCCAGAGTCACTGAAATGCACAGGTCAAACATATTTGTAACCTTCAAGTATCAAACACATTTGTAACACCAAAGCTTTCCAACTAGTTTTATATTATTTAAATAAATATCCTGGAAGAGAAAATAACATTTTGGATGCTTGAATATACCACTAACAACAAAATCACCGATTCTGGAGCTTTGCCACTTTGACAGCATCAGGATAGTGTTGCTAGAAGTAAACGTTTACAATGAGAATCCTGCAGATCCACAGAATAATTATTTATCAAATTTAACTGTATTTCACTGAAAATACACTGTTAAATTTAATACCTACAGAGCCATGTGCTGCAATACAAGAAACAGCGATCACCCAGTTTGACCAGGTACAACTGGTACTGCCTTCAAGGCATATGAAATTAATAAATGGGTTAAAAGAACAGCTCTGCCCATCAGCCACAAGCTGAGACCAGGCTTTAGGGTTTTCTCAGGGGCTTGCTGTTGTTTTACACTTGCACCTTTTAAGACTTCAGTCTAATAATTCAGCTTCTCCCTGAATACAAGGTCTCTGCTTTCTCTAAACAGCAAGATGCGCACTGGTAAGCACAAGCTTCTAACTTGCCGAAAAGGGTGATGCAAGTGCTGTTTCTACATCAAAGAACAGACTGACCAACATAAAACCAAATTAAACTAAACTGTCTTGTGATATCCAAGGTTTTATCAGGTAAGCTATCAGGGGAGCAAGTAGTGATATTTCAGTCATTACAAGTCTAAGGTTGATGTCTTTCAGTTCCTTAACACATTTTCATTTAAAGGAAAAAAAAGATCTGGCCTATTTCTGAGCAGTTAGTTTCACAAATACATAATTTTTCCCTCAGGCTTTTACTACTACTGCCATTCCTTCGGTATCAACTTCATTAACTTTAATTTAAAAATAAAGAAATCCTTAATTTCTCCCCCCAATTAGAACAAAATTGTTCTCCCATTATTTCTTCTAAATCTGACTACCTCTATTACTGAAGATTTAATAGTTACATGAACAATAACTCAGTGACAGAATATCTGCTTCAGTCAGATTTTTCATCTAAAGCCAGCTTCTCCCTTATTGCATTAGAAAGGCAACAGGTTTAGGGTTTTTTCCATTTTTAGTAACAACGTTAAGGGATTACCAGACAGAAGTTCTAAATTGTAATGATATATAAAAAATACACAGCTTGTAAAATTCATTCTAACAAAAGTCTAACATCCCTCCCTCCCTCTCAATAAACAAAACCAATTTAACTTGGCCAAGAATTAATCAAACAACGACCTCCCCTGGAGTGGCTTAGCAGTACTTTGTGTTCTATGGGCTGCAATCCTGATCAGCTTTCAGCCAGGCGGCAGCTGTAACACCACACCACTGCAGCTACATTAGCATCTTCATAAGCATCACACCATCATGACTTGGATATACAAGTCATATGGAAGCTTGTTAAAACAAAACATTCAATACACATGGATTCTAATGAAAATACCTACACAAGTTTTACAGTGCATCATTACTAAAAGCAGTTTATCTGGAAAGCATACCTATGCACAAAATTATGTTTATGCATTACAGCAAGTCCAGCAGCAATCTCACACGCCATTCTCTGCAGCATCATTATCTGTGAATCTCCTTTAATGTGTTCCTGCTCATTGCAGATATAAGTTTTCAGGTCACCCTGTAAAAGAAGTTGAAAATGTTTATCATCATGTGTTTATCATCAACCTGTATGGGGTTGTATCTCAAAAATATGTAATAAAGAGCCAACTAACCACATTACTTATTAACCACATTTATGCTTAATAAAAAAACCTCCTCAAGTTTCCAGTCTCCACAAGGATTCTTATAGAAGAAACCTAAGGCATATGGCCTTGTCCTTTTACGGGCTTTTAATAAAATCCTTTAGTAACTAACATTCTAGATCAGACTGCCACATAAAACCTACCTGTCATACAATTATACTTTCCATTTGAAAACAGAATAATGATTTTAAAAAAGATGAGTTTTCAAGTGATCCAAAGCAGTAAAGCTGACTGGCTGGAATGTGCAAGGGGATGGAAGGGAGAGATGAGAGAAAAAGGTTTGAGACATTGCCAGCTCACTGAAAGTTTAGATTTAAAAAGCACAGTAATATATCCCACTCCAGACAAAGAATTCAGGGAATAGCAGCAGTCTTACTGAACCCAGGCAATGCTGAGCAACAGACATGTAATTAATGAGCCCATAAAAGCACTCCGTAAATTACTTATAAGAAAACAGCTTTGAAATAGAGGCAAAATAACTGAAAATAGTCAAACATTCAGAATCCAAGCAAGGGAAGAGAATGAGTTTCTGAGCCATTATTGTTCTCACTTTTACAGTTGGACTTTTATCTGATCACTCCCATATTTTTGTTTAAAATATAGACTTTTGTAATTTTCACAAATTATATCAGAGGGTATTTTTATATTGAGACCAAACATATTACAACTTGTTTTATCAGCATAATATTCTGGGCTTTAACGGTCCACATCCATTCTCTGCCTAAATCTTGGGCCAGGAAGGAGACTGAAGGTAAGTCCTGAGATCAACCAGACAAGAAGCAGTCTCTGCAGTGGACACTCACAAACCTGGGCTATATTTAATTAAATAAGCAGCAATGGGACAGTCTACTCAAAAGCAGATGCTACTCATATATAAAACAACATAATTTTAATTCTTTAAAACATTAATAGATTCTACAGTACACAAGGAGCTATTCTACCTTCATCTGCTTTATAGGAACTACTTCTGCTGCAAGTAGCTATCTCATCTTGCGAGAAAGCACGCATAATTTCTATTACTGTTTAATGTTGTAGAAACTTTTCTACAAACTTTCTCTTTATCCTGCTTTGAGCTAATAATTATGTAACGTTTACAAATTTCCATCCTACAGAATTATATTCTTTAAAATGTTTCCCAGAAGTTTCTTCTAACTGACAATTATGGCTTTAATATCATACTGGCTCATGTATATATGTATAAACATCAAATACAAACACACACACCCCTTTCTACCTTGCCAGCGCAGATTTGCAAAGAACTATGAAACAAACAGTGTCGGTAACACACAAAGGCTCCCAATTACTCAGCCCAATGAATGTAAGTGCAGACCACCAGGCTGAACTGACTCTAGGTGGCAGCAAGCACCTGCAGAACGTCCAGCTCTCCAAACGTGTTGACATTCATTAAAACAGCAACTGGTTACTTAGGGTTTGTCCCAGGTGGATTAAGTTCCTAGGAGGCCTGAAACACACTAAGGAATTGCTTTTTAATTTTTAAATGCATCAGTAACAGCAGTGCTGTGCGGCATCCCTTATTTACTAAATAATTCATGTAGGCACACATTTCAGTAGGAAATACAGATTTTATTAAATCCAGCACCTTGAAGCACACTGGTTCTATTTTCCCATTTTATTCTAATTAAGGCTACAATTAAGGCTAAAAACATAAACCAGGGGGGTTTTGGTACTGCTTTAAAAGTACATTGCTTATACCAAACTGGGGGAACCAAGGAATATGCTCAAGTGCTGGAGTGGCATCCAAAGGGACCTGGACAGGCAGGAAGAAAGGTCCAACAGGGACCTTACGAAACTCCAGAAGGACAAATGCAAAGTCATGCATCTGAGAAGGAAAAACCCCTTGAAACAACACAAACCAAGGACTGGGCAGCAGCTCACAGAAGCTGAACATCAACCGCCTGCAGGCCCTGGCACACAATACCACAGAACTGCCCCTTCTGAAGTTCTTAGATAACTAAAATCATTACCCCTTCATCAAATCTTCAACATTGCTTTGCATTAAGTACCTGCAGTCACTACCATTATAATGCCTGAAGTGATGTATGCTACAGAGCATTTATGTCAGAAAGTTGTTTAGGCATATGCAAGTTTAAGAAAAACAGTTCTGAGAGCACGAACGCAACAGACATGACTCCTGAAGTTGTCTGTCATGAACTGGCAAAATCCCCCCTCTGTTTTTAAACTGCACCACACTGATCTATCTACTATTTGCCTCATGTTGATACTGACTATGCTTATTAAACAAACTTGCTGAACTCACTGGTAAAGAGAGTTTCACTGCAAAGATTCTTTTTCTATTTAAAGATAATGTTTTCAAGTGTCAGTAATTAGAAAAGTCCAAACAAAAAGAGCCAACCACTGCAGGCAGGCACCTTCCCCTAACAGCAATATCCCTAAAGCAAGCCACAGGGCATTATTCCAGGCAAATACCGCATCCTGCTGATCTCATCTGCCCAAGGAATTGCAACACTTGAAGAATTTCTGTAAGAATTTGATAGGCAAATCAGCCTTGCAATATACATGCTACTTCCACATTTGAATAACTTTCCTTTACTCATAAATTATGTCGATCCATTAGAGGATTTGCTGTGCTGACAAAATGCTGGCCGCACACAGCTGAGTAATATATTAAAGTTAATAAGCCAGCTACCCCTATTTTTAACCTGGCATCATTCTACAATGTTTAACAGTGAACAGTTAACTATTCATAGAAGACTGCACCAACAAACTACGCAAACTAATATGGAGGAGGGGGTGTAAGAACTTACTGAGCATTTATTTTTATATTTGCCATTTTTTGAAGAATTTTAACACAAAGGAAAAGTAGGATTTAAAAGCTTAAATCACTTATGTGCAACTGATCTCTCTTGGTTCTTGCCCAGCTCAACAAAACAAGGGATATAAAGCAACTTGGATTACATTATAAAATAGGCTAAATGTTAGCAAATCCAGTAACTGCATATACAACCAAGCAATTTCAAGTAACAGAAATGTGTAAGTAGTTTAAATGGCCAAGAAAACAAGTAAGCTGGCCTGTGTGACATTCAGCATTGCTACCGTGACAGCTAGCTCTGGTATCTCTGCAATACAGTGTCCAGTGCCTCTGATCAAGAGTCTTCAGTGCCAAGGAGCCAGGGAACTGATAATCCAAGAGGGCTGCCCGAGCAGCCAAGGCAAGGTCAAGTGGCCCTAAAATGGTTAGGAATCCAAGCAAGAGAAGTTGCAAAAGGGGGACATGCTGTGACAGGCTACAAATTTGAAGGTGTGTGAAGAAAACAACCGCTGTACCTTCTAGACTCTGTTGGTCAGTAGAATAGACACATTTCTTGTTACTTAACATGCCATACTTTCAAGAGGAATTATATATTGCCAAAAGAGCCTCTAAAGAGCTTGTCATCTGAAGACATTTAAATTTCCTGTGCAGCACAGCTGATATATTCGCCACCTTTTTTCTTAATCATCAAATTCTTAATCACATAAGTGCAAGGGATTAAAACAAGTTCAGTCTTTGTCGTACATACGTATACAACACCAGAAGCACAAGGTAAAGAGCTTTAGCCTAGCACTATACTACTGCTAGTAAAACAGGAACAGGTTTCTCATCCTTCCCTTTTGAACAATATGTAGTCTCCACAGACACTGAAACCTTCAGTCAACCACTTCAACTGCATCTGCCCCTGTGGCCTTTGCTGAAAAAAAATCACTCTTGCATGTTTTGGAAGTACCTCCAAATGCCCTGATTTATCCAATTTTAGGAAAAGTAGTACAAAAGAAGCTACCAGCTTTCACACTTACTAGAAGCCTGAAAAATCCAAGTAACTGCCATCCCAGCCACAGTGCTAAAAAGCAGCTTCTAGAGTATCAGCCTCCTGACACTCTACTAAAGCTGCCCATAAAAAAGCTACCTCGCCACACCTTCTACACCAAACGGTGTCGTCTGCCTTCCTGCACATTCCCCCATCTCCATGTCTCTCTTCTCCCCTCACTCCAATACTGCCACCTTCCACATTACACTCTGGGACTACAAGGAGGATTAGTGGCATACAGCAATATTGAGCTGAGCTGACTGCACTCCTCTCAGTCTCTGCATAAAACTCCTCAGGTGAACATGTTTTGACTGCCTGGCCCAGGTATATTCATGTGCACAGCAAATAAAATACTATGATGTCTAGAAGATACTCCACTCTACCAAGTAAGAACTGTTGAAGTGAGCCAGACTTTCAATAGGAAAGTCATGTTTAACTCACTATAATAGTTTTCTAAAAACAAGTTTTAGTTCACTTGGAATAGAAATCAGCACAAACATCTATTTTTCATTCCAAACTACATATAAACATACACAAGCTACATACTTCATACCTAACTACATATGAATTGATAAAACTGCCACTTTGGCTGTCAAGCTTATTGCCCCTAGTTAAGGGGAAAATCTATTTTATCCCCTTACGTAAAATCCTTTCCAGATTACTCCGTAGGATCATGACAGTTTTTGGCATTAATCACCAGGCATCAAACAAGGATTTTTTTTTTCTTTCCTGTATACTGAAAGTAGGGCAATTTTTAAGAGTCACTCCATTTCAAATTCAAAGTTGGATTGAATAACATAACTATTTTAAAACATGTCAGCAATTAAATCTGATTAAATATTTGGATGTATATCCATTAGACTCTAAAATGCAATTCTCTTTCAAGGGTCCTCTTAAAGATTCTCCTCTTTGAGTAGCAGGTTTAAAAGGTTGAGGTGTTTCTTCCATTTAGAAAATAATTACTTTACCAGCCCTTCTGCCTCATTAATTTACCGCAGCGAATAAGTTTGAGCAAAAGAGCAATAATGAAAAATATAGTTAGTTAAGGTCACAGATTAACTGATGTTTCTTAAGAAAACTCAAGAGATCACATTAGCTCCTATTTAAATTGCTTAAGACAACTGATGCAACTAGAACCATATTTGTGCACCTGAGTTTAAAGGAAAATTCTGTAGCAGTGAAGCTGATAAAAAAGGATCTCGCTGAATTTTATAAATGCACAATATCTTACTTCTGCCAGATTTATTTCTTAATGTATACGTGCACTTCTGAGTTCATTTCTGTCTTGATATTTTTCAAGAAACTCTGATTTAAATTGTAAAAGCAGCTACTGAGCCAGTGTTTAGATAGGCACAGGTTCTGGGTTTGTTTGGTTTTTTTAATGTGTTATGCTACAACAAAGCAATTCAAGTTCTTCCAGACCATGGATCCATCACCACAGTGGCTCAGCAAGGTTTTTGTGCCACTGTCCTGCCCATCTTCAGTGGCCTTTGTGGCACCAGTAGGAGTGGCACCCTTCAGTGCCTTTAGTATTTCTTTGGGTGTTCAGGAAGCATAAGGCAGCAGTTGCTTAGGGGTGACAGGGAGGGAAAGAAAAGAAGGATAACAGCAGGGAAAAGCAGCATACAGTAACAGAAAGGATCAGAAAGAGAATAGGATGATACTGAAAAATCTAGCAATTAAGAGTACACTCATTACCGATCCTGGAAGTGAGCCCACCATTGCATTTTAGCCCAAGCTGCACGGCATGGGTAAAATTTGGACTCTCTAGAGAAGGGGGGAGACAGAAGGGAGGAAATTCTGTTTCTTCAATTAACATTTTAATAGAAATGGTAATAAAAGCACACTAAGGCTGCTCAGACAGCAAACAGAATTTAGGATGTGGTTGTGAGCGTGTGCACGTGATACTGGACTGCAATAAAAAGCTTTCTTTTATGACCTCCTTTCCCCTCCAAGCTCCCTGCTACACGATGGGAGGCAGACTGAGACACCAGTAATTCTGTTGTCAAAGACAGAACAGCTATTTTCCTCTTTAAAACATTCCACAAGCACCGAGAATTTACATGATGAACTGAAAAGAATACAAACAAAAAACTGTACTTGTATTTTGTCTCTAAACCTAAAAAAGTGTCTTGAAATTCTGGTTATTCAAAAAATTTCCCAGAAAGGAATCACTCATGAATGAAGGGCAGTAAATACACTACACACAATTTACACCAATGGCAACACAACTGCAGCTTTTTGTATAAATGCACTTACCAAGTCACAGAACTCAAAAACTAGAAGATAAGGAATGGCTTCCACACACTGCCCAATACACTGGAGAACATTTGGATGCTGAAGAACGCTGCAGTGAATAAAAAACACAGTTAAAGCCAGAAAGATCACAGTATACATCATTTGCAGCACAACAGCACACCAAAATCCCTGCCAGAAGTTTCAACACAAAACACTGCCAGGGGAACAAGTATCCAAAGCCACAGATTCCACGTGCACCTTTGTATTGCTGCAGCACATCACTGAGAGCAGCTGAAACCCAGAAGATCTCAAAACCACAGAAGCCAGCACTGCCACAAGAAAGTCACACCCATCCTCCCACCACCCCCTTATACCAAAAATAAGTGCAAGCAACTGGTTCATTAACTACACCAAAGAATTGATCTCACTAAAACCTAAACCTTTTCTAGCCAGCTTAGTTCCCAGCCAGAGCAGTTACTTTTTCAAACTGCTTCAGAAACACTTGTGCCAATGCAACAGAAGGCATGAGATTTCTTCTTAGAACTGCCAACAATTTAACCCTAAATGCAAATATAACTAGGACATTAGAAAGCATTAAGAATAGAAAGCTCTCTGACCGTTCACTTGTAGCATATTCAGGCAAGGTAAGCACACTATCCAGTGAACTACAATACACCAGTTCTCTACAAAAGTCATTCATTTGTGGCAGTTTGCTCTTCAGAGAATTCTCACTATTTCCAACGCACAGGAAGCGAAATTGCACTGCCTTTAATACACCAAATACCTTTCTAATATAGAGAGCTCAACTCCTAGAAGTAAGTATCCTCCGAGCATAATACAAAAGGAAGACCAAACAATTGTTTTATTGGTATTTTCAGTTACATCAATGATTTCTCAATAGTAGAGTATTACTGGATGTAATTCTGGGGTTTTTTTGTGTGCACAAGTCTCCTTGCAAGCTACCTGAACAAAATTAGGTTTTATCACCACATTACATTTAATTTTTCGAAATAGGGAACTTATAAGAAATTGATGTGTATCTGATAGCAAAGTGTTGCCAGTTCCCCCGCTTCTTAACAGGGAAGCCACGTACAGGAGTCAAACCTCATTTCTCAGAGGTCAGTAATTAGGCATAAGGTTAATTTGCAACATCAGGAGTTTGTTTCAAACAGCTATAGAAGGAATCTGTTAAACCAAACCAAGTCTGTTTTCAGACAGCAACTGTCATGAACAGTAACTACCAAACACATTTAAGCAAAGAGCTTATTTTTATTTCTAAGCAAACCCAACTTTTGCTCACTTTGGATTGACTCTATTTCCTTTTTTAAAGGCAAAAATTTCAGCTGTAAGGGAGGTCAATTAGAGACAATAATGCTGAGCAAAGAAATCTCCATAATTCATATGCAGAAGTATGAAGTGTGTAAGTTAAGCAAGCTGTGAAACATTACTTACTAATATGGTTCTCCACTTCTTAAAAACTGTTCTTGCTCCTTGGGACCTGCACTTGCCTTCAACTCCTTCACGATTACCCTTGCTACACTGGTGCCTGTGTAGATCTCTCCAAGCAGAACCTGAAAAAAAAGATAACAATCAACTTTCAGAAAACGTTTTCTAGTGAAGACCACTTATTTACTCAAGATTTTTTCCTAGAAAGAATTGTTAATAACAGGAATGTATTAATTCAAATCCAAGGAAGTAAAATGTCTACTTGGTAACTTGGGTAAGAAACTACATGTTAAAGCACTGATTAGTGCTGCGATTGCAGCTAAACAGTGCATGGAAGGACACATCTAATTTCAACTTCAGTTTTTCCTGTGCTATGTTTTAAATTTTTTTTTTTGAGTACCACTCTAGAGGAAATATAGTAGCCTTTTTAGTTAGGAATAAGACTCAAACTGCAGTACAATATTTAAAAAAAAAAATTCTCACCTTTCCAAACCAACCATTTCCAATTTCCTGGATGTAGTTTAGACTCTGACGTGCAACTTGAGACTTTGATCCATCTGTCACACACAACGAAACAAATGCAAAATGTATCAGACCACTCAAATGGCCAAAGTTATCAGCTGTTGAGGAAACAATGAAAGCTCCTACAACATTTATTCCCAATTACGTGCATGTATTCAGACTAAGCAGCAAAACCTGGTTAAACACACAAAGTATGAAGGTACCATCACGACAATAGGACTCAAGTGAAACTTTTCTCAGCTCCAGCTTCTAAACCATACTAGACTACACCTCCTACAAAACCAGTGATTCTCCTTACGAAATGTAAACTTTTCATTTTTAATACATTAAGAAAGAAACAAAAAAATCCCAATTCCAACCTAAAAGTGCATCATATCCTGCAGATGGGTAGAGCAAATCATAGAAACACTTAGGCTGGAAAAGACCTTTAAGATCAGAGTCCAACTGTCAACTAACACTGCCAAGTCCACCACTAAACCATGTCCCTAAGCACCACATCCACTCGTCTTTTAAAGACCTCCTGGGGACTTCCCCAGGCAGTGTCTGGTAACCATTTCAGTAAAGGATTTTTCCCCAATATCCAATGTAAAGCTTTCCTGCCACAACTTGCGGACATTTCCTATCACTAGTTACCTGGGAGAGGGGACCAACATCCAACTCACTACGACCTTCTTTCAGGTAGTTGTAGAGGGTAATGTCTCCCCTGGGCCTCCTTTTCTCCAGACTGAACAATTCCAGTTCCCTCAGCTGCTCCTCATTAAGACTTGTTCTTTAGACCCTTTACCAGCTTACATCCTAAATAATGAACTTACAAAAATTTTCCTATGTAAATAAAAGTAGAAATCCCAAGACTATACTCATTGCTTGTACATCTTAGGATTTATAATTATAGAGAGAGCTACCATTTTAAGAGAAAGGGTTCTACTGCTTTACTCTTCAGCCCAACTGCACTACTTATAGCTACCATCTGGAAGGAGGACATTTTCCAACTAAAAATACTTCATGTAAAGAGCCCAGAGAGGGAAAGGATTGAAAACAAGACCCAGATCTTAGCAGAGGATGGACAGTAACAACAGTAGACTCTGTACTATAGAAGAGATTTGGTAGTGTTCACCATTCTGGTGTCAAATTGGTTAGGAACACTAACAAACAGATGTACACAAAAACTTTCCATCATTACTACTTGTTTGGCTGAGAAATCTAGCCCACATTTTTACTTCCATAAACCACATTTACATCAGTATTATTGTACTGGAACAGCTATAGCTGTATAATATACTGTCAACGTCCTCCTAAGCATGGAGAAGGCTGTATCAGTATAACGACATTTTTACCAGTGTCACTTACCCAAGTACACTGCCTTACTTCTTGCAAAACAACTTCTAGTGATGGAAAGCACAGTTTTAAACAATTATGAAAACGTGGAAGACCTGACAAAATTTTTCACAGATAATTCTACTTCACTCATTAAGACACTGAGAAGTAACATTTCTTTTGTATTAAAAGCACATAAACAGTTTCTTGACATTTGTAGGCACAGAAATTTTATGAGAATCTTCCCTGAACATCTAATGATTAAGCAACACAAGCAGTATACATAAAAATTGTATGTGAAGTATTATATGAGAACAACTACTTTCTAAACCATGCTTATAACATTTAAGACACTTAGGTTTCCTTTTCCAAAAACTGTATTTTAAAGAGTAAGTTCAAAAAAATCCCAAACCTTTCACACAAGGAAAAGAAATCTAAAGCTCTGTCTTACCAATATCACATTATTTCTAAGAATCTCGCAGGGCTCATTAAGAGGCCTTTAAACTAGA